ATGCTAATTTAGTAACTTTTTGGCTATTTGGCTAAAATATGAGCTAAAAAAAACTAGTATGTTTGGGATGACTTTTTGACTTTTTACGAAAAGATGTGCAAAAAGTAGAGAGAAAAGAAAATCTTTGACTTTTTTGTATGAGTTGTTGACTTTTTGTCTAATTTAATAACTTTTTGACTTTTTGGCTAAAAAAGAGGGTTCCCAAACGAGGCCTAAGAACAAAACCAATTTTCTTAAAGGCATAGTGTCATTTGTATTATTAAAGGCATAGGCTCTTTGTTCTAAAGTGATAGGTTCAAAACCCAGACAAGTCATCATGTATAAGTTTTTTGTATGGATTTTCAGTTTGCATATCACTACTCAAATCATAAAGTACCACAAAAGAGAGTCAAGGCAATAAGAGATAACTTTTGCAAAAGTCCATACTTTACTTAATAGAGAGCTCAGGTCTTGCGGATGTGATTTTGCAATATCCCCTATCTGCCGGGCTGCTGTAAATCTTGTTGCTTGGGTTGAACCAGCTTAGATTTGGTTAAAGAAACACACCATTTAAAAACTGCAAACTGAGTCCATAACTATATATACAAACACACATACTCAAAGGTATACATATGCCTACTTATTTTAACGAAAAATACTCACCACATAATACACCGAACAAACAAATAGCAAACAGAGCCAATAGATTCATGTAACAGAACAAGGATACTGTCCAACAGAGTAAGGAGACGATTAAGACGAGATGATTGCTGAGCCATAACGCCTTTTCCAAAGATGTGGTGGGAGCTGGAGCCGCAACAGCCTCTCTCATTCGAACAAAACAGTTTCAAACAAGAAAAGCAGCATTTTGTTCCATTTCAAGTGTGTGCATATCACTGAGGACAGCAGACAGAGCACCACAATTGAGTTACTAGAGCAAGACAAGCACAATGCACATAAACACCCACAATCAAATAATCACATACACACAAAAAATCAAAATAAAAAACCCAAGGAAATGGTGATAACTCAAACCCAGTATGTGGTCCACATGCAAAGCAACGAGTTGAAGATTATATCGTTGATCGATCCTCGATTAAGCCAAAAATTCCTACTTTTAGAAATCGGAACAACGCAATAAAAATTTCATTCAAAACCTAAAATTGTTGAATCTCCATTTGTAGATAAGAAGATATATGATAACGGAAATAGAAATGGTTGAAGAGAACGATGAAACAGATAATCATAGATCATGAATACAATTACATATACATATATATTGCATTGAAGCTATAGAGATACCTCGGGGATGAACAATCGTTTCATGAAAAATGCGAGCGAATTGAGCTAACAAAAATGCAAACTTTTGACTTCCAATCACAAACCCTAGGCTTCCACTGCGTTGCTGTATATAACGGGCAATACAAGGTTGTCCGGTTCATGTACTGGGTGGTTCAGACCACCGGTTCTCGAACCGGTTCAGATGAGTATCACTTGTTGAGCGGTTTAACATCAAAAATGGGTACCGAGGATAGATTGGGTCGAATGATCTCCCCTTCATCATCCGTCTAAAAAATGGCCTACGGCCACAAAATGTAGCCCACGGCCACTGAGAGATGGTCTACAGGACCTCTCCCTCCCCTTAGGAAAAGAAACAGAGAAAACCGAGTCTGGTTCGCAAACCGAGGCAAGGCACAGAAGAGGGTTCGGAAGTCCGGAGGCAGGGCTCGCAGCCAAGACTCTGAAACTTCTGAACGAGCACATTATGCAATATCACCAAGCACTCAACTGGTGACGTCTAAGTCTTAAGGTCGGTAAAAAATGGGGTGTCTACAGCTATCTTGTAAACACTTGGGTCATGTGGCGCATTATTGTATGCTGTCATGTAAACCCTCAGGGTCATGTGCATATAGGTAAGCAGCTTTGTGGGAGTATAGCTAAGTCACATAAAGTTTTCTTAGTAAAGGTGACGTAAATAGAGTTTTGGAACTCTATAAGATAGAGAATTCTAAGCATAGCGCTTTATGTAACCTAGTTGAGAATGGAAAGAAATTTCCAATATCCTAGGGACAGTGGGAGAGATGTGCCTACTAATGAATTAATCCATTAGAGAGGAATACTCTACATTCTTAGTTGCGTGGTAGCGATTTTGAAATTTTTCCACGTCATCACTGGGTGATTGAGAGGGAAACGTTCATAATTGCTCCGCAAGATCATAAAGAGCCTAGGATAATGCCAAAGGCTCTAGTCCCTTGTTTTTAGAAAGTGGATCAATGTTGTGCAGTTTAAAACAAAGTCTTTAAGGATTAACCATTTCTATAATTTGGTTAACTTTCCATTATGACGCGAAACTATTCTAAAGTTATGCGCAATTTGGATAGTCATTGTTGAGGCATAAGGCTCACTAGATACCGAAAAATTGCATCATTGGGAAAAGTGTAGACCATGAGAATACTTCCTCTTTGGGAGTGAGGTTATTTCGACTTAGGCTATGATTGACATAAGTTCGGAACATTGATTTGTGGACGTTGTGACCCAACTTCTCGTTGGAGTATTGGATAAGTAGATCCATAGGGATTTACCTTCTACTTTATGGTGAAAAGTTAGGAGTACAAAAAGGTTGCTAGTTCCAATAAATCTTTTACAGCCTAAAATAGTTATCCAAATAGTGGTTCTTAGATTTCGTCAAGCCATAATAGGCCAACGATGATCGATGAAGACCACTGTAGACGTCCTCGAACGTCCCAGGAGGGAATCCCGTTTTGTTCATTTGGGCTCAGTGTAGTTCGGACTCAAATGTCACAGTTCTTAATTTGATCTCGCAAAGTGCAATGGAAGATTGATAAATCACTAAAGAGTCCAAGTCCGGCAAATCGTTTTGGAAAATAGATTTTTAGAAAGAAGTGCCAAATATGGACCGCTTTGCCAGATACAGAGTCGCCACTTAAATACTTTATTTTGTGGAGAATTTAGAAAACCCTGACTCGTGCCTAAGGCTACGTGTCCGTCATCACCAAAGTTGCCTCGGTTCGGGAACTTGGGTACGATTGGAGAAGGTCATTTCATGAGCACCCCCGCTCGTCGGATCAAAGATCGGCCTCTACTAATTATGATATCAAGTTTTGAAAACATTATGTGCTCTTATTGCGGTTATTAGCCTAGAATTACTATGTGATGCACCCAACATACAAGTATAGACTGGATCGTTTGAGTTGGAACAAAACATTTCATGTTTGTTTATTTGAAAGATGGTTTGATAGTGCTATTTGCAAATAGGCTAAGACGTGGATTTGCCACCCTCAAGTGGGCTTAAGAAAACATGATTTTGTCACTCTCAAGTGGGTTTAAAACTCTCAATTGGTGAATTGTTCCAATTCAAATAACCCAACCTTCACCTACAGGCATTCATGCAGTTATATCACATAAGCAAATAGCCTCATGGTAAGCATGCTATCATGGCAGTCACTCACACGCATGCAAGGATGCTAAAACATAAATACTTACCGAGTACTCCAAGCCAAAGAAAGAAGCTAATTAGAAATCATGCATGAATCCTAACTATGCTGGAATGCCTAATGCAACACATGCAAAAATACAACTAAGATAAGCTTGGCTATTCTAAAATGACATATGAAATGCAACAACTGATACACGTATTCAACTCGGAATTGAAATACAATGCAGTTAGTATGATGCGCCGAGCTCGGTACATGCAAGACAGATAAATGGATGCAAACATGCGAGCATAAGTATGCTAATTGAAACGTGCCCTAAACTAACCATCATAAGCTGGTAAATAAAAGGGAGAAAGATGTGGGGTTGGAAGACATGCATCACACACACACACACACGCACACTTATTACAACATTGCCCTCCTCGGAGGGTCCGAATGAATAGTATAGAATAAACTAGCTAATCTAAGCTAATTAAACTAATTATTACACAACGTTAATTAATTAACGAATTAACTAAGTAAGGAAACTAGCATGCAAATTAAACAAAATGGACTGCCTCAGCTTTGTTCCGAATGATAGGGATGCATGCATGCTCAAGTTGTCTTGTCGGGAAATCCATCGCGATGCCCTGATTTGCCTATGTTTGCAACTGGTCCCAGAACACTGTACAAAGCTCCAAAAGGCTGCTGACCAGTTTTTGCTGTTGGTTTCCGGTTTGCTGCAACAGAGAGCGAGAAACGGGCATAGCAAAGTATTTTCAACATATGTGTGCATGACCACTCTCCCCATCATTACACAAGCTCCAGGGAGTGTAGTCCTCGATCCTCGTGCCACTAATCACGCATCTCGATTCATGATGGCCGAGGAGTCGAATTGCACTACTCGATGTAAAATCAATGCACATATAAACACAACAAGGCCTAAACTCCATCATGGGTAATCCGGAGTGTCGGCGACCGAGAATCGAGGCACGTTTCGTCACTTTGGAGTACGAAACGTCCTTTGCTTCCCGTGTTTAGACTAAACCCTACTCCAAACACTATGCAACAACTAGCATGCAATCCTAAATGAAATACAACTAAGACATGCAAACATACAAGAAATGACATGCAAAGATGCAACTAGCATACGCAATGCTATGAACTAAGAATGACATACTCAATGCACATGAACTATATGGCATACACAATGCACATATAAAGACTATCAATGAGACGATCAAGGCATACACAATGCAATGGTCAATCATGCAACAATATGGACTACATGGCATATACAATGCAAGATGGAGTTAAACTAAAATGAATGGGCCTCAGCCACACTCAAATCAGTGGCCAATACATGACGAAAATGAAGTAACAACACACATGCAATCATGCACAAATGCAAGGGACCAAACCTAAGGCACAAAGTGCAACTCCACCAAAGCATGGTAAGCATGAAATATGGCATACAATCATATATTTTCCAGCTCTGAAATGACATGCAAGATGGTCCTGAAACATGCAAACACCTCACACAATGCATGCTAGATGGCCCAAATACCGAAACTAGTGAAGTGGATTACACTATAGGTACCCAAAACAATGCACAAATGACCCAACCAGCCCCAAACAGTCCCTATGTAGGTCCAAGACAGTGGGAAAATTACCTAAAATGATGGCTCAAAATGCATGGAAATTAAGCTCATGCAATGGTCCATAAACGAGGCATACAAGCACTACTCTCAAACGCATTTAAAGAGTGGAAAACATGGGAATATGGCATACATGTAAGCTCTGAAATATGATGCACAATGGCCTCGAAGCATGGAAACACCTCAACATAAGCATGCAATAGGCTCCAAAACTCAAAGCTAGGCAAGGGTATTGAACTACAACCATGCATAGCAAGAATCATTCGATCATGAGGCATAAAAACAGAGCTAAGGCAGTCCAAAATATGCACAAAATCAGTTTAAAGCATGGCCAAAAAGCGCTAGGATCAAAGGCCAAAATAACATGCAATGTAAGCTAGTAAAGAGGATTTGCACTACAAGCATGTGAGGCAATCAAGAGGCCATCAAACCAGCAAAATTCAGAGGTATGACATGCCAAATAAAGCCAAAAAATCCACTGGAACATGGTCTATGCATGCAAGAATGATAGGCTCCTTTGATAGGCTACAAAGAGGGTTGTTCTACACATGCAAGATGGACACCCAATATGAAAAAATGGGCTCTGGACAGAGCCTATGTAGGTCCTAAAACCCACCAAAAATGGCCTGAAACATGGCTTGGAAGCATGCAAATAAGGGCTCCTTTGTTAGGCCAAATATGCTAGTAAACAAGACAAGGGGTGAGAGAGTCACCCCTCTCTGATTTTGGTGTTCAAATAGCATGCTAGCCACTGAAAATCCACTGGATTTCAATGGCTAAGAGACTAAACAAAGGTCAATGCAAAGGCCCTAAGGCATGGCTCAAAATAAGATGAAATGAAGCATGCAAAGGGGGTAGACGACCCCCAACAGAAAAATAGTCTTAAACAAACATGTTAAGGACCTCAAAATAAGACTTTTTTTAATTTATGACAAAGCCCAAATATGCTTGCAAATATAGCTAAAAGATGAAGCAAAACAATGCTTAAAAGAGGGAAAGAAGTGTTACCCTTGTAGCCAAGAACTCCAGCAGCTTATGGACCAAAAATGCAGCTCCTTAGAACCTCTCAAAACCCTCCAAGAAGCTTAGAGTGATGGTAGAGGGGTTAGGTTGGGAGATGGTATGCAAAGGTGCAAGAACCATGCACTTTTTGAGCTTGGATGTAGAGATATAGAGGGAGAAGTCTTGTATGCCTTGGACCAATTTTTTTTAACCTCTCTAAAGGAGAGGGAGGTCCTCTCTTATAGAAAAATAAGAGGGTTCAAGCTTCTTGGAGAAGCTAAAAAAAGGTTTAAGTTTCTTGGAGAAGCTAAAAAAGGTTCAAGCCTCCTGGAGAAGCTAAAAAAAGGTTCAAACTT